AGAGAGAGAGAGAGAGAGAGAGAGAGAGAGAGAGAGAGAGAGAGAGAGAATATCTGTCAGTCTTTCCTGTAGATGAGGCCCCAGTGGGTTATTCAGTGCCAAGTGGTCAGCCCTAAAAACACTAATCAGACTCAGCAGTTGTATTTATATATTTGCTTATTTATTTGTTTATTTTTGTGTTTGTGTGTATGTGTGAAGTAATAATAATTAAAGAATAAGAGACTGTGAACGTTAGAGGGAGCAGGGCAGGGGTAGGGTGAAATATGGGAAGGACTTGAGAAGAGGGGGTGATGTAATTAAAATTTTCGAAAAGTTACAAAATTAAAACAAGAACAGTCTACTCCTCTGTTAGCTCTGTCAGTCTTATACTTCATTATTTTCTTTCCTCCCCTACCTCTGTCTTGTTTGTGAGCCTTCAAGAGCCTCTCATACCAGCTCCTCATGGCATCCTTGAGCATCTCTGATTTTTAGAGATAAAATGTTCCAAAGACCTTTACAATTTTAGTATATCATCAGATTAACTTTTTTACATCATTACTTGGGAGCAGGTAATGTTTGCCCTTTTTTCTATTGTTATGATCTGTTGCCAGAGGTTTTTGTCCCATCTGGTCCCACAGCCGTTCAGTCGCAAAGAAAAATACACAGAAGTCTACATTAATTATAAACTGGTTGGCTGTAGTAGGAGGCTGCTTGTTGGTTCATTCCTGGCTGCTTGGCTCCATAATAATCACACAGAAACTATATTATTTACAATACTATTTAGCCAATAGCTTAAGTGTATTTCTGGCTAACCTCATATCTTAAATTAACCCATTTCCAGGTAAAATTCCAGCATCTGTCTCCGTGGGGCTACATGGCTTCTCTCTTACTCCAGGCCTTCTCTCTTCCAGCATTCAGTTTTCTTTTCCATGCCTAGTTCTACATACCCTATCATAGGCCAAGGCAGATTCTTTATTCATTAACCAATGGCATTCACAGCATACAGAGGGGAATCCCACATCAGTTGGCCTATTAGCTCGGGATTCTTATTAACTCTCATATCTTAAATTAGTCCATAATTCTTGTCTGTGTTAGCCATGTGGCTTTGTACCTTTTATCAGCAAGGCATTCTTATATTGCTTCCTCTGTGATGACTGCAGACTCAGCCTTTCCTCTTCCCAGAATTCTCCTATTCTGGTTGCCCCACCTATACTTACTGCCTGGCTACTGGCCAATCAGCATTTTCTTAAAGCAATACAAGTGACCCATCTTTACAGGGTAGAAGACCATTGTCCCACAGCAATGATCTACCTAAACTAAATGAGTACTTTATGACAGACAGGCCTCTTAACAGGAATTCTGATACAGCCTCGTTTAGTTTAATGGGTTTCTGAGAATGAAAGAAGTTAGAAGTAGGGCTGAGCTTAATTTTTACTTTTCTGTGCAGACTGAGATTAATTTGAGTGTATCAGTGAGAATCATTTCCTTGTCTACATCTTGATCTGTGCTATACTTGAATTTTTTTTAGAAAGCTGCCTGATCTTGATGCATTTTTTGGAGACTGTTTAGTCTAGCTAATGTTGCAAGATTGGTGGTGAGGAGGATTTAAGTGATCCTTTAATTTTCTTGTACTCGTTTGTCTTACTCAATTTAGAAACCGTGTGATATTGGCTTCATACATTTGTTTGTTAGCTTTAACTTTTTCTATTCTGTTATAACAGCTGTGGACAAACCATGGTTTGTTCCTTAAAGCGTGGTGGCACACATTGTTTGAAGTAATATAATGTAGTTTATAAATAGGCTACAACAAGTTAAAGATATATACTCTGAATTCTAGAGTAACCATTTGAGCAAAAGATAGAGGAAGAGTTATTAAAAAAAATCTAGCAAAAATTGAAATATTTCTACAATGCCATTATAAAGCATGAAATTCTTAGGAGTAAGTTTATGTATAAATTCCAGACCTGAAAGCCATAAAAAGTTACCAAGAGAAGCTGAGTTTTAATGAAAAACTGACTGTTGTAAGGTTATGTCATTTCTTCCCAAGGCATCACCTGGCAGTTATTTAGGCTATACCAGTCCAATCTCATAGGTTCTTTCTCTTTCTTTCTTCCTTCTTTTTTTTTGGGGGGGGGGGGGTAAAAACTGACTTTCAAGTTTATTGGACGAGACCTGTAGTAGCCATTATTGGTTGAATTTTGCATCCTTTCCCTTCCTGTGTTGAAGTGCTATATGTGACCTTACTCGGAAACAGTTATTACAGGTGTAATTAGTCGAGTTATGATGATATTAAACTGGCTTCCTAACTCAGTGTGACTGGTCTCCTTATACAAAAGAGCAGTTTGGATACAGTCCACAGGTATAGGTCAAACATCATGTGAAGGTCAACACAGAAATCTGCAAGCTGAAAAGGACCCACCAGCAGTTGCCCAAAGAGAAGCCTGGAGCAAATTCTCTTCTACCACCTTCAGTAGAAAGGAAATTTTAACAACAAAAACTACTCTGTTCATCTCTTAACCTTCAACTCTTTGCCACCAAAGCAGAGAAATGGTTGTTGTTTATCCTATGAGCCATTTGCTCTGTGCTGCTTTGTTATAGCAGCACTGTCAAATCAGTACAGCAGCCAAAGCAATCTTCAAAATCGCAAACAAAACAGTGCGCACCACTACACCTGGCTAAAGTCAGTCAGTCTGTCTGTCTGTGTATCTATCTACCAACCTACCAACCTACCAACCTACCAACCTACCTACCTACCTACCTACCTACCTACCTACCTACCTATCTGTAGTGCTGAGAATAGAACCATGGGCCTAGAGTTTGCTAGGCAAGTGCTGTGCTGCTGAGTTACACCCCCCAGCCATGGCTCATTCTTTTTGGCATGAGATTGTGATCTGTGAGTCTGCCTGAATATCTATGTTATGAATGCATTTTATACTAAACAGTAAGGCCTGACTGGAAAAGATTCTGCCCCACCTTAGTATTGTGTATGCTCTTGAATTTTTCAAGGTTTTTCATTCACCATTCAGTGTCCAAGCAACCAGGATTATTAAGGCAGTTTCTTGGCCAGCCCAATGCATGTTCCCAAAGGAGCTTGCTCCCCTGTAGGACCTATATGCTTTCATTGTTTCTCCAGCATCACTTGCTCATGTAGGGCAGAAAGGAAATAGATAACCAGTTACTGTCCTCTGTCTACACCGTTTCCAGGACCTAGATGTTTGTTTAAGCTAGGCTTACTGTCTTGTAGGGCAACATTACCATGTAAAAAGAAAGTGTTGACTGAGCTTGGCTCCTCCAGAGAACTACAACCTGTGACTCATTTATTATGGGTTTGCAATCAGTTCCTAACATGTTAGGTAAAGAAACAAACAACTTCCTTATTTTATGGAGTGCTAACAGAAGAAAACTCATTAATTTCTTAATTGTTCTCTTACCCCAGATAGTTGCTCTACTGGTGTAGCTGCAGCAATAAACCTGAGTTCTGCAATAACAAATTCTGTTGTCAGGGAAGGAGTTGCATTGATGTCTGCTGTTCCCAGTGACCTTACCCAGTGTTCATTCTTAAGTCTGTAATTATGTATTTGTCATCTGGGTCTAGAATAGTCCTTGTACGTTGAAAACAGTCAATGAGTTTCTATAAAAAGTTTCCTGTAGCCTTTTGTAATGCAGTCCTGTGAGTGAGGTGTTTACCTAGGAGTCCAAAGTATCAGTGGAGCCATGATGTTTAATATATCTTTAATTTACCTGTATAGCTTGCTTATATTTCAGTATTTATGTGTGATTTCACTTCTATCAAACTCCTACCAACTTGATAGACCTTAGAATTTTAGTTTTCTTTATTTTTCTTGCACTGAATAAATCCTGAATAGTTTTTTATTTCTTCTTTCACTTACGAGAAGTCGGCAGTTTAGCACCATGCAGAAATGAAATGAAAGTATGTATTTGGCCCTGTTGAAAATATACTTGCTTCCTTGGGCTTCTAGAAGTCCCCATTCCTTGCTACAGTCAACTAACATCATAATCTGTAGATTTTTACATCCCATTTTGTAGATGAGAAAACTGAGTCTCCAAGGTTGGGATCCTGGCCGACCTCAGCTCCCAGCCCTATCACACCTGTCTCCTGATTCCTAGATTGCTGCTCAGGCTCCTTATATAAATGCTAATTCTTTGCAAGTATATTACAAATCTGTACTATCCTACAAATATTTTTCTCTACTTTCATTTGTCTTTTTTTCTTAATGTCAGATGTTAACTCTCATTTCTGGACGTGAGACCTAGTTGGTAAACATCTTCTTGTTTTCTTTGTAGAAAAGGATTCTGATCTCTATTTTGGTAGGATTTCTTTGTTTTTAAATTAAAGCTCAGATAGGGAGTTTATCCTTAAAAGGCAGCATTAGAGTGTAATCTACTTCTGTTCTTTTCAAAATGACTGCCCAAATGCCCTGTCTTAAGGAAGAGTGAAAAGAATGAAGTCTTCTCTGTGCTCATATGTCTGCTTTTCTCTTTGTGTGTGTTGTGTGCACGCGTGTGCATCTGCATATCAAGACCAGAGGGCAGCTTCAGTGCCCTTCCTTGACACCATCCACTTTGTTCTGCGACAGGGTTTTATTGATGTGTTAGGCTAGACTACTGACTGTCCACCTTGTGCAAGTGTGTACCACTGTTCTGGTTTTTGGTGGAGTGGGGGATTGGGTATTATTGTTGTTATTGTTTTTAAAAAAAAACATGGATTCTAGGGTTCAAACTCAGGTCTTTATGGTTGGAAAACATGCACTTCACTGACTGAGCCTTCTATTTAAACCCTATATATCTGCTTTTATATATTATAGGTGAAGCAATATTATAATCAGGAAATTACGGAGGTGAAACGAGTCATCTATTCTGTAGTCTTGACCTGGTTGTCCGTTTTCTTTCCCTTTAGGTGAACGAGCTGGATGGCATTCCTCTGATCCTGGACAGCAGCAATATTGATGACAACAACCCCTGTATCCTTGACTATGACCCACAACCAGGTGCTGTAGCCTGGCTTGTTCCTGTCTTGGTGTTTGTTCAATATGTAAGATGGCTAGCTCATAGAATAATGAGTTAATTTTCAAGGTAACCAGGACATCTGAAAACAGCATGTGGCTAAAATGTGTGGCAGAGACAGCTCATTCCACTGTATATCGTCTTCCAAAGTGTGTGTGTGGTCCTTGGAATAAGCATACAACACTAGGCTTGTGTTCACTGTAGAGATCTTAGACTCCTGTCAGTTAGCACTCTTTAACAAAGGCTTGACAGCACAGAAGCAGGAGGAGCATTCTGCACCCTAGCAACAAGAAACGTTTCTGTGCCCATCAGTTTTCCTTGCTCAGGGCCCTGTCCTGCAGCCCCCTGCTGCTGAGGTGGGATCCCTACCCCTACTTGGGTTGTTGTCCATCCTCCCTGGCTAGTGTTCTGCGTGAGATTTTAATTATTTCTTCAGTGCACCAAGTCATGATGCCAGATAAAACTAATTTAGTATTGTGATTGGTCAGGGACCTGGTGCAGCCTCTTTAGGCTTGAAATGAGACCTATTTGATGATCAGAACTTACCTGATGAGCCAGATTCTGTCCTGCCCTTTGCTCTGGGCCCTACACGTGGCCTCTGCTTTTGCACTGTAAGAGGAGTCCTTATGAAACTGAAAGTTGAGAGAGTAAGGCTTGGTTGGATAGTGAGGAGCCCATCCTAGGATGAGTAGGGGTGTTTTACCCAAGAGAACCTTCTCTTGGGGGCTTCTGCTAAGAAGATAATCACATTTCAGAGTAAAGTAAACAGAAAAATGCTTAATGTTTTTGTTAAAAATACTGTCATTTGCCCAATTTATAATATAAAATCTGATTTTGACACAGCAGCTCATGAGATCAGGAAAAGCCAAATCAAGAGCCTTAGAAGACTCTCCTTCAAGGCTCGAAAGAATTGACACACTTCTTTGTGACTGTCATCAGTCACCACATAGTACTCAGAGTAGAGTTTGGATGGCTTTTTAGCTCCAAGGAAAAGGAAAGACAAAAGACGAGTGTTTCTGTTGGGGGGGGGGGGGCAGTAGAAATTGCAGATGTCTTTTCTGGCAGAAAGCCAGTTGTCTTGACCACGACTACCCCCAGTTTGTCTTCATACTCCCTAAACTGAGAGTGAGGATGGGTTTTTAGCTTTGGTACTTATCTTTACCAAAGTTCAAAGGGGAATGCTCCAGTATACTACGTGGAATAGTGTTCTCAGCACTTTTGTCCTTGTTTAGTCTTTATTGTATGTTTTCATGTGTTGTGGCCTTACTTAATTCTGACAACACATGAAGCAGATGCTTATATGATCAGACCCCATTTTGTTGATGAGGAAATAAACCAAAAGTCCCAATTGTTTGTCCTAAACGTCAGTCAGAACTTATGCTTGTGAGTAGCTGGTTCTCCTGTCCTGCCTCCATAGGAGTTGCTGAGATGAGGTGAGCATATGCAGCCAAATCCTGTGAACATGCCCATGCAGTAGAAAATGACTTTAAAGCATGCATGTCATGGATGTCCATGTAGACAATTGGCTTTCGTGGCGATAATTCAGCATTGGGAGACGCTTAGTTTGTCTCTAAATCATTAAGAAAAGAGAATATTGTAAGCAGTTTTAATGTGTTTGATATTTCTTTGCAGTTTCATTTATTAGTCCTACCAGATTTTAAAGTCATATAAAGTATGTTTACAGTAAGATGAACTACATCCTGAAATATCAAAGCAAAAGGCACATAATATTGAATTGTCAGAAATGAGAAGACATTACACCCAAGGATTCATTTTTCAGTTATAGCTGTAAATTAAAATCTGATTACCAGAGCAGATAGAGAAACAGTGTGTGTCACGATGCCTCCCTTACCCGTGTGTGCAGCTGCACAGCTCCCTTGCTTATGTTTCTCTGCTTCTGCTCACAGCAAGTTTCCTGAGAATTATCTCATTACCTTGACGTTACTCTTCACCTCCCAGTTGTTCTTCTTTCTCGGTGCTTTTATTTCTTAAATGTTTTGTTGAAAATCATATATTTATGCTAGGTGTGTTGACACATGCCTTTAATCCCAACACTAACTAGGGAGGTAGAGCCTGGTAGATCTCTGTGAGTTCAAGAACAGCCTGGTCTACATAGTGAGTTCCAGAACAGCCACAGCCAGAACAACATAGTAAGATCCTGTCTCAAACAACAAGAGGGGGGGAGGGGGTAGAGGAGAGGAAAAAGGAGAGGAGAGGAAAGGAAGAAAAGAAAGAAAAAGAAAATAATGATTTCTTTTGGGAGTGGGGCGTTTGAGACAAGGTTTCTCTGTGAAACAAGTCCTGGCTATCCTTGAGCTCACTCTGTAGACCAGGCTGGCCTTAAACTCACAGAGACCACCTGCCTCTGCCTCCCAAGTACTGGGATTAAAGGCGTGTACCACCAGAACCTGGCAAATAATGTATTTTTAATGACTCTTCTTTTTTCAAAGTACTAGAAGGCGTTTAATGGGAGAACCGTAGCTCTGGCACTGTCTACACTTGGGATTTTTATTTAAATTTTGAGAAAAGGGTCTTGCTGTATTGCGTAGTCTGGTCTCAAATTTTCAGTGGTCCTCCAGACTCAAGGAGTATGCCACTATGCCCAGAGCTCCATTCTTTTTATTCCACCCTTGGAACTGTTTTTCCTTGTATTTGCCTTTGTCTATGAAAATGTTATACTGTGTTTCCCCCCTCCCCCAAGATTTATTTATTTTTATTTTGTGGTTATAAGTGTTTGCCTGTAGGTAGATAAGCACATCATGTGTATGCAGTACCCTCAGAGGCCAGAAGGTGTCACTGGATCCCCTGAGTTACAGTTACAGAGCTGGGATTACAGACATTTGTGATCTGCTGTGTAGGTGCTAGGAACTGAACATGGGTCCCTTGCAAGAGCAGCTAGCTCTCTTAACTGTTGAGCTATCTCTCTAGTCCAGCCCATAAATTGTAATAGATAACTTTAGTACTGCCTGTTTACTTCATGGTTGGAACATTTAGTTCTTGTATATGCCATATCATTTCCCTCAGAGATTCAGTACTGCAATTAAGACTGCAGACTTCACTCCCACTCCCCATTGTACATTTGTAAAAGGGCCTGAGCATCTCCTAAAATGTTTATTTGTCCAGGAAGTGATAGGGCACCCTTGTAACCCAGTACTCAGAAAGCAGAGGTAGCTAGCTACCTAGCAAGATTCTGCTTCATGAAACAAGCAAAAATCTAAACCTTTATAAAACATGTTCACTTGCCATATGAATTATGTTTGTTATATTTGCTCTTATATACAAAACATAATGTTCTTGATGAAGCCATTTATATATTCTTATACTGGGATGTCTCATTTTTATTATTTGTGTGTATGTCATGTATATGTTCATGTGGGGAGTGCATGTATACGTGGGTATGTATATATAATGAATGCATATTTGTGCACAAGTACGTGGGGTCTAGAACTTTTACTTTGCATATTTTTCTCAGTTATCTTCCACCTTTTTTTTTTGAGAAAGGGTCTATCACTGAACCTGGAATGCCTAGATTTGGCTAGACTTTCTGACCACTGAGCACTGCTACCCCATTCCTCGGCACTGAGGTTACAGATGATTTTGTATTGAACTACACTTGTCACCATCACTGGACACATAGGATATGGACAGCAGGTCGCAGGTGTCTGTAAACACTTTCACTTCTTCTTTCACATGATATATACATGGCATGATTTTGTATGTTTCTGTAAACTTCAGGACCCACAAATGAGAGAGAACTTGTCATACTTGTCTTTCTGAAACTGATGTGGTTTGCTTAATATGACCGTCTCCATTTGCACCCATTTTCTTAACAGCAAACCTGATTTCTTCATGGCTGAAAAATTTCTGTCTATACATACACCGCAATTTATTTATCCTGTCTGCTGATGGACATGTAGGCCGGTCCCATAGTTTAACTATGATGAGCAGTACTACAGTAAGTATTGATGTGCAAGTGTCTCTGTGAGGTATTGACTTAGAATCATCCAGGAATGCCATGGCTGGATTGGCTGTTTCCTTTGCTTTTAGTTTTTTGAGAAACCTCCATCCTAATTATCATAATGGGTGGACTGAGTAAATCCCCACCACAATTAAGAAGGGTTTTTTGATCATATCCTTGCCAGTGTCTCTAGTTCTCTGAGTGCTGTTCTCACTGGGGTGAGACAGAATCTCAGTATTGTTTGTTTGGTTGTTTTTTGCAGTTCTCTGATGGGTGCAAGTGTTAAACATTTTTTTCATGTATTTATTGGCCATTCATACTTACCTTTGAGGGTTGTCTGCTTACTTCATTAGTTCATGTAGCTGGGTTGTTTGGTATTTAGTATTCAGAGTTCTTTGTATATGCTAGATACTAATCCTTTGTCAGATCTATACCCAGCAAAGATTCCTCTCAGATTTTGTAGACCATTTCTGTACTTGAAGAATTATTTCTTTGGCTAGTCATTAGCTTTTACTTTCATGAACTATTGTTTGTTAACTGTTGGCATTATTTCCTGAGCAAATGGAGTGCATGATGGAATCTTCCGATCTCAGGCCCCTTACTCCTCTTCTGAGGAAGTTCAGCCAGGACTGCTAAAACCCCTCGCATACTCTAACTATGCTGTGTTTACTTCTGTATTTGGAACCTCATAAAATAGGTTTCTTGGGCCAGTTGGTGGTGGTGCACGCCTTTAATCTCAGCACTCAGAAGGCAGAGACAGGTGGATCTCTGAGTTTTAGGCCAGCTTGGTCTATAGAACAAGTTCCAGGACAGGCTCCAAAGCTACAGAAAAACCCTGTATCAAAAAAAAAAAATTAAAAGACCACAACAGTGTGTGTGTGTGTGTGTGTGTGTGTGTGTGTGTGTGTGTGTGTAGATATAGGGATAGAAATACACACACATACATTTATATTCACATATATGTTTCTTGGGCTAGCAAAATGAATTAGCAGGTACTTGCTACCAATCTTGACCACCTGAGTTTGATCCCTGGCATTCACTTTGTGTGAGAGTACCAACACCCACAACTTGTCTGACTTCCACACATGCTATAACACATATGCGAACACACACCATAATTAATGAAAATAAGTATTGTATGTGTCAGTATTTGTTTAGTTCTGTGTATATATTTGTCACCTTCCCTCTCCTTAATTACTTATTTCTCCACCATCTGCCTGGACTCATTCCCCTCCTTTTAATGTGTCTTCATTGTTGGAGGACAATGAGTTTATTTGAAAATGTTTTTCTTGGGCTGGTGGTTCATGGGGTTAAGGCACTTGCAAGTCTAGCAACCTGGATTTGATCCCAAAACCCATATACAAGTAGAAGGAGAGAACTGACCATACAGAGTAGTCCTCTGACCTCCACATGTACATCCTCATACATATGTATGCGCACATGATTTTTAAAGTGATTTTTTTAACAGAAAATCTTTCTCTTTGGCCTCCAGTTTTTCACTGTTGTGTTAAAATGTGAAGTCATTGTCTGTATTTTGTCAAATTAGCTGCAGGGACTTGACTCGACTATTTATGCTTTTGTTTATTCCCCTGCTTTCCCAGAAGGTTATTTCCATTCTTAGTTGTTTCTGATGTGTGCTCCATGTTCTTTACCCTGCTACTTGACTTAATGGGTATTCTGGTCTTCTATTGAGATGAAGGAGAGTCACTGGGGGTCCACCTATTCCCCTTGGCGTGTGTGTGTGTGTGTGTGTGTGTGTGTGTGTGTGTGTGTGTGTAGGTCAACCTCAGGTGTCGTTCCCTCTCTAGTGCTATCTGTTTTATTTTTTGAGTCAGTCTCACTGGAACCTGGAACTTGACACAATTATCCTATCTCCAGCTCCCCTGTGCTAGGATTACAAGCGTGTGCTACTCACCTGACATTTTATGTGAATGTGAGGATCTAACCTGGGTCCTCATGCTTGAATACCAAGCACTTCATGGACTGAACAATCTCCCTAGACCCCAGGCCCACCTACTTAAATTTGCAAGCAATTCTTTTGTCTTTTGGTTTTTTTAGGGGTTTTTTCTTTTGTGTGTGTGGTGGTTTGAAAAATGGCTCCCATAAATCCACAGGGAGTGGCACTAATAGGAGATATGGCCTAGTTGGAGTAGGTGTTGCTTTGTTGGAGGAAGTGTATCACTGGGGGCGGGCTTTGAGGTCTCAGATTCTCAAGCCAGGCCTAATGGCTCACTTCTCTTCCTGCTGCCTACCAATCTAGATATAGAACTCTCAGCTCCTTTTCTAGCACCATGTCTGTCTGTGTGCTGCCATGCTTCCCAACATGACAATAATGAACTAAACTTCTGAAACTGTAAGCCAGTCCTGATCTGACGTTTTCCTTTATAAGAATTGCCATGGTCATGGCAAGAGGGGTGGCTCAGAGGTAAAGAAAACTGACTGTTCTTCCAGAGATCTTGAGTTCAATTCTCAGCAACCACATGATGACTCACACCCCCAGAACACTGTGTGCATAATAAATAAATAAATCTTTAAAAAAGAAAAGAATTGTCTTGGTCATGGTCTCATCAGAGCAGTAGAAACCCTAAGACTTTTTTTTTTTAAATTTCTAAGGGATGGAGCCCGTTTTCACCTGTAATTGAATATGTACATGTTATCATCCTTGCATTCAAATCACTTCTTTAGTCTTCTATACTGCCCTCCCTGGTTTTACTCAAGCAGTTGTCTCATCTGTTAACTTCTTGTCTGTTTCCTTTTAGCATTTAAAACATTTAAATATATATATTTATACACATACATCTATATGTATATGTATTTTATCTGTATATGTATGAGATGGAGCACATGTACTGCATGTGTGCATATGCCCGTGGAGAGCAAAAGAGGACGTTGGAACCCCTGGAAGTGGATATATAGGAGATTCTGAGCTGCCTAGTGTGGGTACTGGGAACCAAATTCAAGTCCTCTGCAAGAGCAGCAAATGCTCTTAGCCACTGATCCATCTCTTTCTAAAATCTTTACATACGTGGGTTTGTGCCTTTAAATTTTTTTTTTCATGCCAGTGCACTTCTTTAATCCCAGTGCTCAGGAGGTGCAGGCAGGTGGATCTTTGTGAGTTTGAGGTCAGACTGGTCTACAGAGCTAATTCAAGGACAGCCAAAGACTAGACAGAGAAACACTGTTTCGAAAAACCCCCACCCATCAAAATTTTTTCCAGTGGGACTTCAAAAGGGGTCAGAGACAGCACGTGTTTATAAATTTCATGGTTTTTTTAATGGCCGCATTTCCAACATACTGCCAAAATCAGTGGATATTTTGCTTTATTTGTATGTGATTTAATAGTTTGAAGATTTACCTTGTTTTGATTTATGTGTGTGGGGGTATGTATATACAGGTGTCCATGGAGGCCAGAAGACAGCCTTAGAATGCCTCTAGAGCTGGATGGAGTTATGTGTGGTTGTGAACTGCCCACCATTGGTTCTGGGAATCAAACTTCTGTCCTGTGGAAGAGCAGCAAGGTTTCTTACCTACTGAGCCATCTTTCCAACTCTATGACTTAATATTTTATCATAATTAATCATGTCCTTAGCATACTACCTTTCTTGGCTTCTGTGTTTTTCTCCTCCCCTACTCCCTTCTATCAGTGGCTCTTCCTTGTCTTCTTGGTTGCTGCCTTTTCTGTAGCTTAAATGTGACCTGTGCCTAGGCTTGCCTACAACTCCCTTCTGTTGTCTCTGGCAGTGTTTATTGAATGTCTTTTATGTATCTGACACTGATCCAGGCCTTAGGAAAGACCTCCAAGAAGGTTGTTGATACCATCCAGGCAAGAGGTAGTAGGTGGCATGGCTCAGGCTGATAACAGTGCTGTCCTGTGCGTGATCACAGTTCCCATTGCCTGTGCACTCTCAGGACAAACTTCATGCAGAGCATCAACTCCCCATTTCACATTCCTAAATTAGCAGATCTAAAATTAAATTTAAAACTGAGCCTCTCTGCCCCAGTCAGTGAGAAGACATAGTCACTCGTGAGTTTCCTTTTTAATTCTTCTATGTAAAGTATTATCATGTCTTGATTCTTGAATTTATGTTTATTAATCAGGAAGCAGAACAACTCTAAGCCCAAGAAAACTTTTCCCCAAGGGTTCTTAAATTGTTCAGTGAGTCTTTATCTTAGGTTCAGGAATATTTTGAATTTGGTTTAACTCATTCATCCAATCATTTAGCCTAAACAAGCTTTTAATCAAGATTTAGACACACCTTGTTCTCCCCCCCTTCTCTCTCTCTCTTTCTCTCTCTTTCTCTCTCTCTTTCTCTTTCTCTTTCTCTGTTGTGCGCACATGCACATGAACACACACAGCAAGCACACAGAATACATATTTGATGTGCCTGGATAAACTGTAAACTGGCTGTGTAGTGTCCTTGAGCATCCTCCAGGTATTGGGGTGGGGCCTGAGATTCTTGTCAATGTCCATCTTTCCCATGAGAAATTTGTATACCTCACTGTAAAAGACCTCTGCTTCCTCCTCACATGTAGATGGGAAGATTAGACTGGTCTAACAGTGAAGTATTCTTTAGAAGCAGTTTATGCAACTAGCAGGGATTTCCACTGCCAGGGGAAAGCCATGGCTCAGAGGGGAGCCTAACCCTGCAGGCCTGCACTGGGGTACTCCTGGGTCAGGGATGTAAGCCCAGCCAGCTCCCAGCTGTTCATCGCCCCCACTCACTCTTGGGTCACCCACAGTAATGACAGAGTAGCTGGTGCCATCGGAAAATTCCAGTTTCACTACCGCAGAGTCAATTTCTTATTTGTCAGTTTATTGTGGCAAGTGGGATTTTTTTTGTTGTTGTTCCCAAATAGAAACAGCTGAACTTTATTTGCCATGTTTTTCTTTTCATTCTTTTTTGATCTATGTTTTGATCAGTAGTCCTTGATGTGGGTTTTTTTAATATATTGTTTTTATTGGGGGGGGTGGTTGGGTGGGAACAGGGATAGAAAGA